GAAAAGGAAGGTACAGAAGAAACTCTTAATTGTACTCCTAAGTAAGGGGTGTTTGAAATAGTCGCTGGTGTCCAGAGAAAAGTCTAACACCACCCCATTCGCCCTCTTGTAGCCCTGCTACAACACTTATGGTGGAGCTGGAAGACCCTATATCCTGTGCAATAGGAATTTCCACACAGTGCTTGCAGCTTAGGCTCTTCATTGCACAAGTATATTTCTGACTCAACATACTAGAGCTGAAAGTGATGGTTGTCTCATAGACTTGTTTCCTTTTTACCTTCTTTATCTGATATCTCGTCAACGTGATGTGGCGAAGGCGTTTAGATATAGCAAGAATATTTTCAAGGGGGGTTCAAATAAGTATTCTTCAAATTAAGTTAACATTACAAACCAAATATTGTTACTGATGGTTTTGTTATTTGAAATACCCACTTGATTTATCAACTGGTTGCATGTTGTCCATGTGAATGACAGTTAGGTTTGCCACCTCCTGGTCGGCTGGTAGACCGCTGTAGCTGACGACCTGATGTCCTGCCTGCGCCAGTGTCCTCAGCACGGCGTTAAACAGGATGTGATGACTCTTGGCAGGGATTGGCAGGACAGCAAGGATCCTGGCTGACATGGCAGGACTTCCGTAAGACATCAGGAGCAGCATTAAGATGATGTTCATGGTAGATCTACAGACATATGTGACTAAAGACTAACCCAGACAGCACACTTTATCCCAGGGACATCCCATAGTAGTCCCATATGTCCTGAGAATGTCTCGGGATATGTGCGCTATCCTCAGGATATCCCGCAAAATCCCGGGACGAGTACGAAATCCACAGGATATCCTACAATATACCGTAATGTCCCGGGATTTGTAAGTTAACCTCAGGATATCCTGTAAAGTCCCGGGATATGTACGAATGCCATAGGATATCCCAGAATGTCCCATGACATCCCGGGACATGTAAAAAATCCACTGGATATCCTGTAATGTCCCGGTAACAAACTGAAGAAAAAAATACTACCACTGATGAAATGTACAGTATATCTAAATTTAAATGTTCAACAAGGCCAATATATAATAATTTGTTTTTTTTCACTAGTGCTTTCAGAAACTTGGTTTCCATCTTCAGGCTGTGTTTACACTAGTACAGAAAGTAAATATTTACTTAATAAATTAATTTTAAACAAAGTTAAAACAGATGATTTAAAGGATATTGGAAAAATAAAAAATAATATTAGAAAAATTAATCTTTTGAATTTTGGATATGTTACAGTGTTGTTCTTAATGTAATTATTTTCAGTAATTCCGAATTTATAATTGGGCCGTCTTCATTATTTAACAAATAATTTTGGTCTGTTTTTTTTTTTCTAAAAATAAGATTCCCACGCATTAAGATGTTGAGGTTTTATAATTTATTTTAAAAGTTTAAGGTTTCCCAGATTGAAAATATGTCTTGTTAATACTATGGCTAGCAAGGGTTGACTTTACTTTTTTACTGACATATTACTACCACTGAGTTCAGGAAAACTAGAGTTCTATCATAGTTGTGTGAAATGTGAATTTAATTCTAACTTTAAATTAATAAAACAACAAAAAACTAATTTTAATCATATAACAATCAATTATTACAGTGCTAATCTAATGGTGATTAAATAATCTATATTCAAATACCAGTATCCTCTCCAACTACCAGAAAAACAATTCAACTACTTGAGGCCTAAACAGATTAACAGAATCATATACAGTATAGAGAAGAGAAAAGAATTTATTTATAAAAATAAATACCTATACTGTAGTATCAAAAATATTTTAAGTATTGCGACCATTGCAACTGTCGGCTACTCTTTAACCACTTGAAAACACCCATAATCATCAAGCGCAGATAGGTCAGGAGGTAAGGTAAGAGGCTCACAAGGCGAAGGTAACAGGTTCGAAACCCGTCTGGGCCAAAAACTTTTTTCTCGTTTTTTTTTCTTTAAAATTGGTGTTTATTAACTATTTAATCAATTTACTAAACTTATAATTAAGCTTTTCATACTAAATCTATATTATTTTGTGTTTTTTATGTTCAGGCCCAGACCACACTTTATCCCAGGGACATCCCATAGTAGTCCCATATGTCCTGAGAATGTCCTGAGGACTACCCTGGGATGACCTCGGATGTCCCACGGATATGCGTGTGAGCTTATCCGTAGGACATCCCCGGGCGGGGACATTACGCATTCCTGTGGATATCCTGTGATATCCCAAGTTGACCATAGGACCACTATGGGATATCTTGCATATCCTGTCGCAATATCCGTGGGATGTCCTGAGGAGAAAGTGTGCTGTCTGGGAAGTCATGGTGACATATGTTACCTGGCAGATTACAGAGTTAGTGCGTTGTTTGAATAACCCCAATATAAAAATAAAATAAATTTAAGTAATTTATGCATTAAATGGTTTTCTGCAAAGTACTTAAGATAAAGGGCGAAGTGAGATAAAAGGGATCCCTACTCTTTTCCTTGTCGAATTTTGTCGTTCTAATTTGCAAACTCGTAAATAAACTTTAGGCGTTTGTACTAAATTCCATCAAAACTGAATTATTTTACTTGAGTTATTGTAGCCTAATAATTGACACACACACTTATCTATCTATATATATAAAATCCAATGTATGTTTGTTTCTTTGTTTGTCCTTTATGGACTCCTAAACTGTTGACAGATTGTAATGAAACTTTCAGGCATTATTAAGCGTTATTCAAGGATGGTTTGTGTGAAGTTTGGTGCAGATCCGTCAAAAGGGCTCCGCCCCAGTTGCTCTGGAGTTTCCCATGTTAACCTTATGGAAAACATTAAAATGGAATTAAAGAATCTTAACAGCTGGTTCAACTAAACAAAAAAGTTAATAGGTTTACCAACAGGGTGCAGCACTATTATTTTTTTAAATTTATGACAACAGCTTTGCAAACAAAAGGTGAGTGAGCGTAGCGAACGAATTTCAACCTGGAGGCAAGTTAGCGTAGCGAACAGCTCCAACAAAGCATTTTGTGTTCAATGACCTTTGTACGGTTCTTTTCAATTTTTTCAAATCAATAAATCATACATTTAAAGGTAGGTGTAAGCAGACGAAAACTACAAATTTGTTCTGTGCAATAAAATCTGCCAACATCTAAAACTACGCCATTAACAGTGGTATGCTTGACTTGAACAATGAACATTAATTCACTATTGTGTAAACCTAGTGGTGTACTAGCGTGACACTCCAGTAGGCGTATCAGAAACACCGATTGATGTGCATCAGAGAGACATGAGAAGTACGTATGAATTCAATTAAATACCGATTTCCAAGAATACCGAGGCTTTCTAAGAATCCTAAAGATTTACGAGAAGCGATGCATGAGGCCAAACAGTGTTTTGTTATCATACAAACCCTATTTTTACCTTAAAAAATTAAATTTAACGTATAATAATCACATAGTTTGCAAAAATGCTCATGAAAATATTAATTTTCCACTGAAGCAATTCATTTTTAATTACTTTAAGTTAACTTAAAACTCAATATAAACATACCAGCCCGAAAGCCTGCTATCTCTCACGTTCACGGTCAACCGGTCAGTGGTCAACACTGATATCTCCAAGTCCAAGCGTCCAAGTCCGTGCTGCCCCCCCCCTTCAGGTGCTACGTCACAACTGAGGGCGGCCGCTACCCCCGCTGCCGCTGCCCGCTACGTGGTGTAGGCAACGCGTGGTCCTTTATAAACACTTCCTTTGTGCGAAAGCAACGCCATTGCTTACATACTGTCATTCAAACGTTTACTAGGTGTACAATGCAGTCGTTTGCTTGAAATATTAAGAGGAACTAACATATTAATCCAATACTTTTCCAAAGGCAATCCTAAATTTGGTTAACGTAATATATGGGAGGCATACTGGCCGCACTCTCATAATTCAATGCAAAATCTAGTTCAGATAAATCATTGTGGAAGGTTCCACCATGAGATAAATGAGATGTCTCCTCACAGTATCCAAAGTCAATGCTTTATCTGTTTCTTGTAAATTGGATCTCTAAAGTTATCTATATTGTTATCTTGCAAAAAATGTCATAAGCGACCAATAAACCCACAAAGGTCCATGTTATTTTTTTAAATTTAAATTCAAGTATAGAAATAAAGCCCTTTATATACAGTTACAGTTCTTATTATTCTTATTCAGTTGTCTGGCTGCTGTTGCGAGCGGAAGTTTGCCCTCCGTCCTCCGCTAGATAAATAGTAGTATTGTTGAATTCGGCTTTGGTTCTTCTGTAATTACAAAAATGTCGACATGTGGAAGATGTGCGTTTCCAGCAGCTGGCAAAAAAGATCCCTCTTTAGGTTGCCGGATGTGTCACAAAGGTGTTTCATGTGGCGTGCATGCGTGTAGAAATAATAAAAAAAGGTATACTGCTCCCCAGCCAGCAGAAAAATCTTCGTAATTATTGTGTGATGCGTGTGAAGCGAAACCATCATCTCAACGTGGACATTTGGACTATGAAACTATATCTGTTGAATTCTATTGACATAGCACTCCGGATGATTTAGCTTAACATTAAATTAATGGAGGCCTCTGAAAATGGACATCGAGGTGTCTACTTTTTTTTCAAACCCATTAATTTGTTTTAAGTTTTTGAGAAGGGGTTAGTATTCATTAAATTTAAAAACATTTACAGGTTCAATGCAATACAGGTTCAAAGTTTTAATTTAAATCCAAACAAATTTCATTCTGTTGTGTTTAGCCGAGTGCTAAAATAAAAATTAATCAATGCTTTTATTTCCTTTCGACTCTCAACGCTTTCAACCCACTTCAAACCCAATTCATCCCCGTTCATCCATCCACTAGTCCTATGGTCCTAGTCCAGTCCAGTCCTGAATCAGATCCAGATCAGATGATTCGTCGAATGGAATGAAAAGGAAATGTCAACCTGTCTGTCACTGTCACTGTCAGTCAAGCGTCAAGCTGTTTCTTTCGTGCTTGCTGACCAGTGTAGTGTTGCTTTTGACGAACTGAACAACTGAAAGCGAACTAAAAACTAAGTCAAGTGTAACAGTGCAAGAGTGCAAGTCTTGAGAAAGTACAAACTAATTGGTTAGTTTGTTACTCCTTTGGTGTCGAATAGAATTGGATGAGAACCAAACAAAAAGTTCTTCCCAACAGCTCACGTATACAAATATTGTCAATAATTATTCAACTATTGTGAATTGTGACGTTTGATTGAATGAAAATGTCATCGTGTTGGCCTATTCCCTTTGTTTAGGCCTAGTTTCATGTAAGTTATTGTTGCATTTGCAAGAGTCTGATCTGATTCTATTGAATAGGCCTAGTTCGCATTGTCAAGAATGCTGTTTGGTATTGTTGTTAGTAAATCTATCTAAAGTTCTTATTTCTTTAAACAATTTTATGGAACTAATCTAGTTTTTGGTTGGATGGATATCAGCGAAGGCTTTACATGTGAAACCAATATAATGGTCTAAATCAGGAGGTATGTATCTTTTACTAATTTAACTTAGCTTTTTAGATTTTAATTTGTATGCCAACTAATTAATCTACTGTAGCCCCTACTTGCCAGCATAAAGCCTAATCTTGGTTCTCAATCAAGATGGAATTCATAAAGGGAGTTGTAATATTTTGAATACTTAAGGTACCAGATACCTATAAGTTATACTAACCATTCAATATTGTACCCATGAGCCTAAAGACAAATAGGCCTAGTCTAGCCGACTTAAGTTAGATGTTAATATTTTTTTATATAGGTAAGTTTAGTGTCAAATAACTTATGCAGCCTACAATCTACGCTCAGCAAGTTAGGCCTACCCTCAATTGTCTGGCCTAAGTCCTATATTACACATCTTATCTATCAGAAGCAGGCCGAGACCATAAAGCACTTTATTTAAAGACGCCAATCCCGAGATTTCTAGGTACGGGTGTCAAAAATCGACCGTGATTGAGACCCCTACCTATATGGTGAAAACTAAAGTAGGTAAGTTATTATACTTTGATATTAAAAACCCCGAAATTGTGGAGTAGCTTAAGTAAACTTGGGGCTGCACTTTAGTTTACGTCCCACACTCATTCGAATGAATATATCGTTGATATCGATTACTTCATTCGATATAATCAGGTTAACCTTATTACCTATCTAACCGAATGAAATAATCGATATATCGATATTTTTAGTTTGAATGAGTGCAGGACGTAAACTAAAGTACAGCCTAACTTGGTAGGATAACATGGGATTTCAAATTTTTAGAACTGAACTTGAATTCCCAAATTTGAAGATATGCCCTCCATTCAGAATAATAATTTTTTTTTCAGTCGTGCAGTTGTCGAACTTATATTTGAACTGTTTCAGCATGGAAATCGAAGATCCCAGTATTCTAGATTCTTGCCTGCACACAGAGATTCATAATGGAAGACTACATTACAACCAGTTTGAAAGAGTTCAACCTCTCCCATGTGATAGCATGGGCTTCCGCAACGGTGATGATATTCGGTGGCGTTGTTCCATTCATCCCTCAATATCGAGAAATCAAACGGAAAGGAGATGCAGAAGGCTTTTCTCTTTACGTGTGCCTTGTTCTTCTAATTTCTAATATTTTAAGGATATTGTTTTGGTGAGTTGCTCTCAGCACTTCAGCGCATTATAGAGTTTGGTTGAATGTTTATGCTTAAGACATTTTAGTCTTTACAAAGTTTTCTAAGATGTTGACTCTGCATTGGCAAATGTAATGAATTTCCTCTGTACCGTAGTTAAGAAGATATGGTTAATATGCATTTTAGGGTCTGCGCCCGGTTTTTGAAATTTTGTTTCATTCTAGGCCTATTTGAAATTCCACACTGATTCCGAAAAGACGTTCTTTCCTTTTTCTGTAGTAGGCTAAAAACAAAAACTCCTGAAAAAAATACAATATTTTTTTATCAAATAAGTGGGATGTCTGTAGGTACATCTGTATGTAACCGGAATAACTAGCAAATCACGAATATGTAATATTTTTTACCTGACGTCAAATAAGCTACCAAGAGATAGCCTAATCACAAAAATGTACAACGAGATTAGGTTAGAGGTGTACCACTTCACATTAAGGGTACCTAGGTTAGGTACCCTTTTATCCATCTAATTACTAATCGTCCTTTTTCTGCAATAAATAATTTCATTTTCAGAATCAGCATTGAATTTTGACTAGGCTAGAATGGAAAAAATTTAAAAATCTGGGTGCAAACCATAAAATGCATATATTACCAAAGATATTACCGTAGCATTAATGGTAAGGCAGACCTGTCACCGATTTACTTGTTCGTTCTGATGTCTCCAGAGGCCAAAAAATTTATCAATTCAAATTCATATAGCCTAACATATACATATAAATATTGTAATTAAAAATCTTCTGTATAAACTTGTAGGCCCCTAAACCTTAGTTTTATTGAATGAGTTTGCGAATCAACATGATTACACCGTAAGGACGGGTTTTATGGGTAAAAAAAGGGTTTTATCAATTTTTGGCCCCAAAAATATAAAAAATCAAACCATTTTGTTGAGATTGAAATGCTAAGAATAATTTAGTTTGCATATAAATTTGTATAAGTTTTACATCTAACTTATTTAGAGGCCCAGTGGTTGAAAACTACCAAAAATAATGTACCTACAGAATTCTCTATTTTGATAAATAAATGATAAATTCTTTATTTTACCAGGCAAAGTTAGGGCCATGTGGCCCTTACACTTATTTTAAGTTACACTCTTAAGTTTATTTTCATCCCACGCTGTAAACAAACATGTGATTGGAATTTCTTCCATTTGTTTTGATTTTCTTTTTGTATTGCGTCTGTTATTTCGTAACCAGCATGGCAACCCATAATGCCCCTGTTAATATTTTATTTTTATTTTAAATGAATTTTTTTTATATTTGAGCCTATTTTAATTTAAGGTACCTATTCTGCACATCTACAGGCAAATATCTTTATAACAGTATGTGTAGAGTTTCCCGGTGATGCACACGAGCTGAGAAAATGGTATTAAAGAAACATTCCGTTCTACTCAGAGGATGAATTCCTAAACAATAAGCTACTATATAAAAAAAATGCTAATTGTAATTGCAAATGATGGCACATGAATGTTCTCTAGGAATATCTCAATAAAGAATTTGTCTATTGTCTATGCTTGCATATTAATATATAGATAGGCTAGATAGTTACGGGAGAAAACTCCCAAAAACTGTAAATTTCAAAAATGAATTCTTTGTAATTCAAATTGTTTCCTTTTCTCGTGATACATCAAACCTCTTGAAAACTCCAAAATATTGATAGTTGGCCCACAAAATGTATGTGACAACACTTTGCATTTCCAGGTGCGGTAAGAAGTTTGAGACTCCTCTTCTGATTCAAAGCATGATCATGACAGTTGCCATGTTTTTTATGATTCATGTTTGTGTTTCGGTGAAAAACAAGAGCCAGATTATCCGGGGTCCTGACAGACTTTTTACAGGTATTTATAATTTGATTACTAAGTTTTACTAAACTGTTAAGTTAAATTCAGAAGTCAAAATGTGTGGGATTTCCTCAATCAATTGGCATATCTAGTTCTGTTTTTAGTTTATTGAGTTTAAAACATCTTTGGTTTTAAGATAGTTTTTTGACAAGTTATAAATATCATCATTGACAGCACCTCTTAGCAGGTGGAAATCCTAATGAATTTATTGATTAATCAATAGAGATGATTTGGCCCCTGAGCTGAATTGATGACTATAACATAATTACAATTACTTCGTCACAGCCCTGAAGTTTCCGTTTATTACAGCCGTTTTTGCATTATAATGCCATCCTCAGATGTATATATCCACCAGATTTGGCGTCGTCAAACTTTACACACACACGAAACACGAAAAACATATAAAACAAGAGAAAGGCCTGTCACGCACATGATGACCTATACAAGTACCAAAGCTTACTCAGATGTATATTCAGACACATAGATAATATATTTCTGAGTTTGGGTAAATATTGGAATAATTTGTTTTACATTATTGAGCTTTTTAGGGACTTATGTTATAGGTAAAAAATATAAACGTATAAACTATCACCTATTATAACCTTACATTCAGATGAAGTAGTCTTACTTGTATTAGAAAACTACATCGAGCTTTGTGCTGATAGAACCTAAGTTTCTCTAAACCATTTTTGTATTTTTTCCACACTTACCCTCTAACACCAGACACTTAGGCAGAGCCAATTTGTTCAAAGTAGTATTTAAACGTTATTTATCAAAATTAATTTGTAATACAGTATTTTGAAAGTGAGTTTTTGTGTAATATTTACCTACAGAGAATTAATAAATATGCTATTTATATTGTTTAAACATGATTAGCTTGACAATTAAATAAGTTCCAAAGAATGTTAAAGTAAAATCTTACAAGAAACCTCTTAATTAGAAACAAAAGTTTTGTCTCTTCTCTGAGACCTCATCATGATTAATTATTAATCACTGTGATGCCATTTCTCGTCTAATTGTGACAAGTTGTGACTCATGGTGTAATAGTGTGATAATTGTACGAGGCTAGGGGTCACTGCTTGAGTGGTTGATTGTTGTTCAATGAGGTCGGCCTTTCATTCATTTTATAGCATGTGATTACCCACAGGCCCAATTCTGATCTTATCACTCTATTGATCAGGTATTTGACCTTTGGAGAAATTCTTGAATAAAGTGTTTTTTTTTTAATCAAGAAAATAATAAAATATATTTTTGTTGTTTCTTGCACACCATTAATTGTATTGTAGTTTTAGTGGATAAATGATTCTATAGAAGTATTAAAACAAAGCAGAGCCACCCTCATTAGCAAGTGATCTTGATAACAAGTGTAATTTTTCAATACCCATGACCTTGTATTTTACCCCCTAATCAAATGTTATTGCAAACCTCGATAAGAAGTCTACTTCGATAACAATAACAAGACTAATTTAACAAAATATTTTAGTGAAATCTTGACAGGCAAATGGAAATTTGCTTAGTCTGCAGGTTGTCTGCGGGTGGGGGATGAATTAAATTCTCATGGATATATGTTTACCATTGATAATACCAGCTCCACACTACAGAAATCAAATGACATTTTTTAGTTCTTGTGGTACGGTATTTTTTATATATTTTTTGTACTGAATGGCACCAAAGTAGGATTGACTGTAATGATACAAAATTAAATTGTCAGCGAGGTAGAAAAGTACTCTTCCATGAATCTTAAATCTTTCCATATTTTTTAGTTTATTTCTACTGCTATTTACTTAATAAAAGATGTTATTTGGGGGTTATGAAATTTTAGTCCTATGTAAAATGGCTCGTTTTTTTAGTACGTTACAAGTTTTTTTTATAAATTTGTGTTCAGTTGAAGTGAGAAGTATTTATGTCCAGTGTTGGATGGGTGTCAAAAATATACTGCCCATAAGCCTATACACTGATTGAATATATTTTCCGTAGGCAAACACTGTTTATTTAAATATATGACACATAGGCCTATGGGTTTAAATTTATAGTTCTTTGAATTTGTCTTTGGTTTACTCTAATAAATTGAAACATAGGCTAATTAATTAGCCTACCAATTACTTCACTATAACATATAGTGTAGACCTACAAGTTTTAAAATAACACAAACAGTGGTGTTATAGCAGTTTTTGCAGTGAACTGTGCACCTGGCCCAGAATAGTATAGGGCCCCCAGCCCCAAACTACACGAGCAGACTTGTTTATGTTAATTGAGATGTGAAATTGCCCAAATTAGCGTTTTTAATTTTTGACAAACTTTCTGAGGTTATTTTATGCTGTCTGCTAACGTGTCGAAACTTACATATTTAATATCTTGAAATACTACAGAAATAATTCAGACATACTCACCAGAATATTATTTTTACCAACAAATATTGTTTGCATTATAGTGTATTTTAGGCAAGGATTTGATATTATCCAAATATAAATATGTCAAACACTTGATAATGTTGTTAAACAAATAAAAACCACTTTTTACAAGTATTTTCGTAAATAAGAAGGCCTTATTTTATATTATAGTTCATGAAACGGCATTCTAAATAAATGAAACAGATTCTTTCTTCTTCATATTGTTTGGGTTTGGTCCTTAGCTGGTTAACCATTCCATTATTTGAAGTGCTCATGTGCTATCTGCTATATATGCTATGTCTTTAAACAACGAATGGTGACCATGTCAAAGTGGCGTACTTTGCCAGATTATGGCGGTCATGTTGTATATTCATTCTTAGGCCTACGGTAACATTTTTATTACACACCTAAAATTAGTTTTATTTTTTTGTACATTATTGTTTTGTAAGTACGGACAGATACTACTTTATTCACAATTAATTTTGTTATGACAGCTTTTATTAAACTTTTTTCTTTTGTGCAAAACCAGCGCTGGAATGGCGTTCCGGTGCAATCCGGCACCATGACACCCCCGATATTAAAATAGTTTGAGTAGGCTTACATTACAATATGAATTTAATCGTTTGGAAACATTAAAAGAAAGAAGTTCTGTTTTTCTGTTGGGTAATTATCTTTTTGTTAGTTCAATTTGTTAATCTCGTTTGCTTACTGATAAGAGTCTTTCAAGTTTTGTGTCATCACTAGATAACTAATTATGTAACATTAGATTGAACTACTTCCTCTTCCAAGCATTCATTTTTTACACAGTAACATGGATTTTATTCTCTGCCCGTGGTTCGCTACGGGGTGAGAATACAGAAGTGAATAATTCGGTTTTTAAAATCTACTATAAGAAGCAGTTACTACACACTTACCAGGAAACATATAGGCAAAGCTCAATCCTACTTATTGATTATTTAAATGCAGATTTCTTAATGTATTACCAATACTTATATAATGTATTGCATTTAAAATATATGCAAAAGTCTAATTCATTGACCATATGGCACCAAGAAACAAATATTCATGTAAACAAATTTCAAATAGCAGAAGAAAGCATAACCGCTGGGTTAGTAAATTTCTTGTGTAAATAAAGATTAATTGTCTATTGTCTAGGCGTCTTCATAAGAAATCTATTATTGGGAATTCGGTGGCCTGTGGGACAAAGTTACACTTACACAGCGAGGACTTTTATTACAGGAATTGGTGAATGGTCTACACAAAAATTACTTAATTTTGACAAGTTGTTTGTAAAAATCTGTTCATTATTAACGGAGGAGTAGTGTTTCGTAGAAATCGCCTTCAAATATTGTATAAGGACTAGTGCACCTGTTGCTCAAATTCGAGCAATTGCTATGTATTACAGCTGCGTTATTTTAAAACGAATAACAGTCATAATTTCCGATGACTTAAAAGAGCCGACTCAAAGATAATGTCACTCCACTCCAGTTATCGAAACTGAAAATGACCTCACTCTGAAAACAAACGCTCTTGTGTGCATCATATGTTTACTATGAAGAGCTGTAATTAATACAAATTATTCGTCTGTTTAAGTAAACAAAATCTTTTCTTCATAAGAAATAAATTGAGATTTTTATGGCCTGTGGGGCAAAGCCCGAGGACTTTTATTACAGGAATTGGTGAAGGGGGGTTTCTACAAAAAACTACTTAATTTTGACACATCGTTTGTAAAAATCCGTCCAATATTAACGGAGGAATAGTGTTTTGTAGAAATCGCCTTCACATATTATAAGAATAAGTCTTCTAACTACTCAATTTATTTACACTTATACTGTAAACTTTTCTAAACAGTCAATGTCTAGAAAAGATGTTGGTTTTGTTAATGAAATAATTGTTGGCCACTTCCTTTTGCTACATAAAAAAAACCTGGATACTCATTTAAAAACAATTTCTTATATAATCATTTATCTTTTTTTTATATAAAACAATAATTGTGCTTATGATTTACTAAACAGTTCATGTTATTTGGTTTTACAGGTAGTTACTAGTTAAATAGCCTTTATAAAATTTAGAACATGTTGCTTATTTTTTGCAAAACATTACCTTATGACAAATAAGGTACAAGAATAGAATAAAACATAAGGGTACAGATATAGTGTTATTATCATTTGACATTTAAGGAGATTTTATAAAAAAGAAATGATTTTTTACTCATTAGATTAATTATACATATAATTATTTTGATTATGTAGAAGGTAAAATTAAACATCTGGACTCTTATCTTAACTGTGAAATAGTAATATTTATTGACTTTTTATCATTGTATTTATTTCTAACGAACATTTACAACAGGTGCCCCAAGCGTTCAAGTGGTGAGACCGGCAGTTCGTAGGTCATTAATGGGTATGTGAGAGTAATTATCGGGTTGTAACGTAAATGGTAAATGGTTGCGGTTGCTAGTCACTAGAAAGCATTGTAGATATTCATCACAAATAGAGATCACTGAATCTAATTGGGATTAATCTTTGGTGTCCCTTTTGGCTGAATAGGCTATTGATTTAACAAACTTAATGGTAACGGTTAGTAATTTTAAATGAGTAATTGTCATTAACCACCACAAATGTAAAAATATTAAACTGTAGGGTTTGATTTAAATTGTTAAACTTAAAGTAAAGATTGTGTGTGTAACAAGTCAGGAAATGGTATTCTTACAAAATTGTTATTAGCTCGATATGGTTTTATTAGAAGCACTTGATTTTTGTGGTTCTGGTGTGTCATTTTGTGAGGTTGATGTTACTGACAAGCCTTAATGAACTAACCAAACTAATAACATTAAAACACACCTGTCACATTTATAAATTAAATATAAATAAACTTGGTTTGGATTGTAACAATGTCTTATCCCTGGTATTTGTCAATAAAGGTTACAATCCCTTAAAAGTATATTTACTCATAAAAAAACATTCCTATTACTTTATGTTTGAAAATGTCCGTCCTGCTAGTAGAAAAACCATTTTGTCCTACTATCATAATTTTTTTATCTGCCACTTCTGTAGCTATTTTTAGGAACATTATTGAATTTATTTATTTTTCTGCTCCTCAACTTTTTACAGATTTATAATGTTTATATCGAATGTACACAGTACACATGTACAGTATATGCAATAGATGCAAGAATCAACACTGTTCTAAACAATCGCTGAGTTAGTTTTGTCAATTTTCAGTCACTAGAATAGAGTAATAAGAACAATAGCTTATGCCGTACGTGTAATTTTAGCACTAGACCTTGGTATGTCAAGTCTTTGAGCCTTACTCGTCATCGTGCATAATTTCATAGTCGTTACTGTAGAAAACTCACGCCATTGTAAACGTTGCATGGCAATTATGGAAATTGTTTAAGAGAATTGCTACTAAATAAATTACACCTGTTCACTCACATACACTTTTGGCAATCTTTGCTTTTATTTGATTCTGTTAGTTATACACTTATAAATTTATTGTAGTTCTCATTTTATTATTGTAGCTTAAATAGTAGAAGAAAAACTGTTTGTAATTTACATACTACATTTTTTTATTAGTGAGAGTATGAAGACATTTCATATTGTTATTATTATTTTTGTAATACTGTGCACATTAACCCTTTGAGGCCGAAATGCTAAATTTATGTATATACTAATTAAAAATTTGGTGGTGACTCTTAGCCCTTTTTTGATAATATAATTTGTTCCCATTGTTGCGTGAGGCACTAGATCTGAGTGATGCACGGTTGCACAATAACTGAAATATCTTAGTTGATTATCACTTTTTATTAACAATCTGGGCACCGTTGAATTCGTCAAAGATTTTTTGGAAAAAATATACAGGGTGAGTTTTAATTGTCCCCCCCCCCAACTTTTTTCTACATTTTTTCAAATATCAATCCCAGACCACTTCCAAACATTGTTGGGTAGTAAGTACTTCATTTTGACAAGGTAGTCATTTCCGGCCGCCATCTTGGATCCGCCATATTGGATGCACAATTTTTTTTTCAAATGTAAAGGTGGGGTTGTGACCCATCATTTCGAACTAAATTTTTACCCTGATTACAATGCCACAAACCGTTTTTAAAAATCTTGATTCATTCTAAAGTTGTGAGGGCTTTTTAAAACTTTATTTTTAGCCCATTTTAACATTATGCATTTACAAACTAAGACCATAATCTCAAAATAGTGCTAGATAAAGGGGGGGGGGGACAATTAAAACTCACCCTGTATACAAAATAATATAGCCTATTATTGTAAAATTACTGGTTTTTAGATACAAATTTAAAATGACTGTCATTTTGAATCAATAAACAGTAGAAAGCTGATGCTTTGTGTGCAGATATGTCCTATTTGTCTTCATATATGTACAATGTTTGAAGTAAATTGAAGGTATAATTTTTCTTAAATTTTTGCGAGTTACACTTCAGTTTAACAATTAGAAGAAATTATCAGATTGGTTGAGCTTTTATCGGTAATTGTCCTTAGCCAACAAGACATTAGAATGAGGACAAGATTATTTGTGACTCACTTGAAATAAGCGCTCAAGTAGACCTAATATGAGCTAACTTAAAACTTTTGGGTTGATTTTTCAGTACTTCATTCAGGTATTGATATCTCGTTGAACCTTATCCCATAACTCATGTAATCAGCTGCATTATTTGGGTGTTTCTGTTTTATAATATGTTCCAAGTGCACTGCAGTATATTAACTCTTCACAAACACATATTTTAAGTGGAAAGAAAAAAGAACCAAATTTAGCAGTTCCAATGAAATTGTCCTTGTGTACTTTTAAATTCAGCAAGAAAAGTGATAACTGATAAATTCATTTTTGCTTCCACCTGTTATCATTAACCTTGAGTCTTATCAGACTAGGTCACACCATTGTCACGTGTGCGCTCTTTGGCAAACTAAACTACACAAAGAATGTCTAAATTAGCAGCTACCATGAGTAAGATACAATAAAAAAAAAATAAAAAAACTGCTTAAATTCATCATCCACAGTGAAAGCTAACTTGTCACTCCAAACTGTTCAATATAGCCTCTGTAATGTATGGTAAAAAAAAGTTACTCAATTTTTTGTGTGGAATTTGAAAAGGGGGGGGGGTTAAGAGTAGAAAAAATTGTAGTTATTTTTTGTTAAAAAGTAGTGCCCATTGAGGAGGTGTAGTCTAGCGAGGTTGTCATTCCTTAAAGGTCTTGTCACAATTCACCTTTACAAAAGATAAAAAACCTCATCTCAGATACAAAAATTAGTTTCAGATTACGTCATAACATCAAAACTACCGTCTGTTTACTCAGTTGATAAACATCTGTGAAATTCCTCAACAGTTTCAATAGCCTTTAAATTAGACGAACAATTTTTTTTATCATACATTGGAGTTCTGATTGTTCAAATTGATTTGGGCCAGACCCATTCCAGATCAAAGAATATTACAGTAAGCAAAATCATAACATTTTGTAACCAAATACATTGTACATTATTATTATTATTTTGTGATTTTGCAAACTGATTCAGGATTCAGAGTTTTAAGCACAGTTTATTTTCCAATAATCCCTTTTATGCTAACACTTACAGACTTAATCTTCAGGGTCCAACCTTGTCACACAACAAAACTTATAAATAAAAGCTTCGGTCTCGTTACATATAGCCATCTTCGAAGCAGTTAACTGGAAAATGTGTCTTGCGTTGCGCTCCTACACTGTACAGGGTTATTCTAAATGATGGACCCATTTTTAATGCTTTATAATTTTTATACTATTACACTTACTGCTATAAAATACACATCAAACGAAAAAGCAACTCAAAGAGTTTATGCCTTCCAAAGACACATCATTTAACAATATCGATCCAACAGAACTGTACAATTGCACACAAGTTAAAAAGTAATCTCCAACTTTTTTACCACTAGAAATTTGGAGGTTACTTGACGTTTTTGCAAATAACATTTTTGAAAATAACTTTTAAATGGTGAGGAAATCAACCAAAGTGGAAGGTATTATTCCGAAAGAGAATAAAATTTCCTACAATCTACTGTTATGCATTTTTTGAAAATACTCAAGAAAGGTACCAAAAATTGCCTCAAAATGAAAAAAAAAAATTGAAAATCCCCGTCTTCAATTGTAGACAATAAACATAGCAAACATTAAATTTCGCACTTTTTTATTTTAAGCCAAATTTAGGCTACATTTATTGAGTAGGCCTATTTTCAAGATATGCGTAATAGTAGATTGTAGGAAATTTTATTATCTGTCGGAATATTACCTTCCACTTTGGTAGATTTCCTCACCATTTAAAAGTTTTTTGCAAAAACGTCAAGTAACCTCCAAATTTCTAGTGGTAAAAAAGTTGGAGATTACTTTTTAACTTGTGTGCAATTGTACAGTTCTGTTGGATCGATATTGTTAAATGATGTGTCTTTGGAAGGCATAAACTCTTTTAGTTGCTTTTTCGTTTGATGTGTATTTTATAGCGGTAAGTTTAATAGTATGAAAATTATAAAGCATTAAGAATGGGTCCATCATTAAGAATAACTCTGTACAATAATATAGAACATTAGCGCTAAACACTGAGACAAAGGATAGGATAGGCAGGCTTATCTTTAGAAATGTAGGCATCCCACTTCACTACAGTAATACAGAAGAAAAAAAAACACTAAATATTTCGAGGTCACTGGCCCCTTTCTCAACATTAGATCATCACATACATTAGACACAACATGAGAGTCACTTTAGATACTTCCATTCCAGAATGTTGAGAAAGGGGCCAGTGACCTCAAAATATTCAGTGTTTTTGTTTTGTTTTCTTCTGTGTTACTTTAGTGAAGTGGGATGCCCACATTTCTAAAGTTAAGCCTGCTTATCCTTTGTCTCCTTAATTCTCAGGCAATAATGCCTTTCGATTCAATCTTTACACGCTGAATTATAGATTTTAGTTATAAGTCTTGCTCTGTGAGAAGATTGAACCCTAAAGACCAAGTTTCTAGTGTTAGTGACTGTGGAAGCTACAGTTACTATCTCTTTGTAACTGTGTTTATTTTCATTTTTCCTCTTACACTAATCTCTCGCCTTTTTTAACAGATTTTGAATGGAGGTATTTCTGGCAGTGGACAGATTTCTGGTCGTACGTGGAGTGTGTACTCAGTGTAACACTCATGTTTTCACTGACAACATTCGTCTTACGGGATTCAAAGTTTTACATCGAGGCGCTCGGTTTTGCCGCTCTGTTCACGGAGGCCATGCTCGCTGTGCCGCAATTGGTGCAGAACTTCCGCAACAAGTCCACTGAAGGCATGAGGTAACTCAATCAAGTCACTTTATTTTCAAAAATAAAACACGTTACTCTAGCAAAACTAGATAAAACACTTAAAAATATAATACAATCCTACCTTGAATCAATATTTAATTTTAGCGAATTTCCCTATAGGGAAGTAGCTATTACCGTAGGTCTCATGGTAAGACTTAGGCCCGGGACCGATTTACTTTTTCATTTTGATGTCCCCAGAGGCCAAAAACACCATTCGTTCAAATTTTTATATATGTATATATATATATATATATATATATATAGATTTATAAATATATATATGTGTCCGTGAACACGATAACTTGAGTAATTTTTATCCGATTTTGATGAAATTTGGTTTGAAGGTGTAAGGCGGGATAAACTTGAATGAGTTCGCGATCCAGCATGATCGGACCATGGGAACAGGGTTTTATGGGGTAAAAATAGGTTTTTCTCACTTTTGACCCTCAAAACACAAAATTTCCCAATTTTTACCTAAACCTTCTTAAAGAGCTTAAAAAAACAAACAATTCAGTATATCAAAGTGTTTTTGTACGGTTATTGGTTACGGAGAAAACTAAAAAAATTGTAAATTTAAAATTCCCATGTTATTCTTATGGAGAATATTGTAAAATGTTGTAGTTTGCTTGTTTATGGATATCTTTTTATCAAACTTGGCAAATATATTCATTTTCTACTAAGCAATAATTATTTTACTTAAAACACACACTTTTTTAGTTTCCTTGTGGCAGCAAACCTAGGTACTCGTTAAACCTAATGTTATTTAAATAGATCGATTGAAAATCAATTCAGCCAAATGGAAATTCGCTTAGACGGCAGGTTTGCTGCGGCGGGGGTATTTTTAAATTGTATTATCCCTTTAAACCCCCTGGATTGAATTGATTGAAGTAATTTTTTAATTTACTTCATCATATATTTTGAATTTTTCTAATTTAATTGAAGTATTTTTATAGTTTTTCCTATCATCTTCAAACAATATTTAAAGCAGGTTTTTGGTGGGATACACAGTTGGGATGGGTTGAAATTAGCTAAATGCCTGATTAGTCACTCATCCCATCAAGCTCTACCACAGACCTGTTGCCTACAAGCCATTACACCTAGACTGCTCAACCAAAAGCTCAAACATAGTATAGTAGTTATAAACTTTACCCCCAGGCTGTAGCACATGCCGTACAGTCATTTGTATAGTTGTAAGTGGAAGTTTGATTGTGTTACTCTTATGGTGTTCAAGAGAAGAAACTGTTGTTTGCACCTCAAATCCATCGGTCAGATCTAGGTCTGGACAAATTAAGTGGTCGATCTTAGGCTGTTAAAGTTTGAATCATGTTTCGCTGGATTGTTTTTGCTTTTTATTGACATAGGGTCACAACTGGGTGTAATCCAACCTAAATATGAGTAAAAAATTCAAATAGAATGGAGTGTGATGCCTTGTGTACTTTTGTTACTGATCAAGACCTGACTACGATCCATTGACCAGAATCGTATATTTATATTCCAATGCTCAAGGAGAGTTCGGTCCAATTTTGAACATCAAAATATTTCTTTTCCTAGGATTGAACTGGCATCCTTTTATTGGGCAAGCACTACAACCACCAGTTTATATTTGTGGGTAAAAGAAACTACAAGTTATAATATCACAAACAATCTTATAATTTCCAACATCAAATAGTTGTGAGTTTAATTGACCAGCGCGTGGTTGTTTCAGCGTCCTAATGGTGGTCATGTGGCTGTTTGGAGACTGTTTCAAGACAACATACTTCATTCTGCGTGACGCTCCTGCGCAGTTCTGGCTCTGCGGCTCGCTGCAGATCGTCATCGACATCTTCATCCTAGGACAAGTCTACTGGTACCGCAATAACATTAGTTTGCACATTAGTAGAGCTGACTGACCCGAGGCAGATAGTGAGACTAACTCGGACACTAACTCTTCCCTCGCTGTCTCTGTGAGCGTCTATACCTTTGAAAGCACTTGTGAGACTTATTGCTAAAGGGTATCCAGGCAAAACCATTGACTCTTGGATACAAGTAGACATCCCATGTGTAGCCAATAGTAGAATGCGCTATTCACAGTGCTACATCAAATGTATGCTATCACCTATATTTTAAAGGAAGTCACAAATTAAGAATTTTTTTAAAAGAATTAGAGTTTAGGCTTACCTGAGAAAATTTTAGTAGGCCTACAGGAGCAAAAGATGCACAGTAAAAAGTCACAAACATATATTTGTATTTGTTTTGCTGAACAAAATTTTCTGGGTACATTTTTATAGGTATTAAACATTTCTTGAAACTGCTCTGTTTCTAAACGACTAGATAATGTTGGGTAGTTACATTGGGCGAGGACAGTTGGTGGCGTTCTATACGCTCGTGTAGTCAATGCTCTCGCGTTCAATCCGCTGCTGATTGTCGGCTTCATGTAGTCCTAAACATTTTTTGGCGCACTATCGGCGGCGTTTAATTCGCTCGTGTAGTCCTGACTTAATGTAGGACTGGTACGGAGAGTTCTACAAGAGAAGTCTTCTTCAATAATTTGTTCTCAAGTTTCTATGCAAATTACACTTTGTAGAAGTCTTATAATATAAATAAATATCAATGTCATGTTTTGTGACTTTACACTGTGTATCTATTAGCCCCTGGATTCTTAATTTTCTTAGTTAAAATAGCTAATCTCTTTCCTAAAATAATTCCTGTTTCCTCCCTAAATTTTTGCCTCTATAATAGTTGATTTGAAATAGGAGATTGCCAAATTTTACAATAAGTACTTTCAGTTTGGCTGAGTTTAGTAGTGGTTTTATTTAACATGAATCAGTAATTGACATAGTATACCCCTTGGGTAGGTCAATTCAACTGTTTTTTTATTTTTAAATAGGCTACATGTTTAACGTGAGAATCGGATGTCTACTTGTATCAATAGGCAAAGGTAAAACATACATGGTTCAGGTGCCTCAGCTCCAATAAATTTAATTAACGTTTTTAATGTAGATAACATGATGAGGAATTATTAGGATAAAGGGTTAGGCTACAGGGTTGAGTTGTGGTATACAAACTTGGAATTTGTATAGGCAGAAATTGTTGATTTCAGGCTCTTTTTTTTATAAATATTAGGCTACGGTACTATAGGCCTACAATCTGTAATCTGAGTACAGCTGACTCTTGGTTGGACACAATTGGGACTTTTGCAATGTCATCATCATCTAAAATGCCACATTACGCAGCATTGTCTGAAAATAGCTGTTACTAGCACATTTCTACTATAGACAGTCAAAAAGCCATTTTGCGTTTGTCTACCCTTGACCGAGGCTTGCAAACTCTGCCAAACATGTCCGGTATGCTTATTCAATCCATACCAATGTCCAACACCTCTTATTGACTAGTTAGTGACATATCCTTACAACTCTGCTTGATAAAACAATGAGTTTATACACGAAGGTATCATTAGTTACTTACCGATACACGACATTTTGATTTATGGATTGCCACTCGCTCATTACATTATCAGATTTGTAATGGAACTGTACAGTTAAATAGCCATTTTTTTTTTGCTCTGAGAACCATGATTTCACATTAATAATGCACCGAGCACAACGGTTTAATGAATTACCGAGCGTAACTTAAACGAGAAGAAATATTGGAGCTGAAGGACTTGCAAACAATTACAGAAAAGAGTGATCTACGAATTTGGTTAGCTACAAAGACTTTGTGGTGTACACAGGGTGTTGGGCAGACTTTTAACATCCTACTCGACAACTGGATACAAGTTATTGTGACTGGTTTTGAATGTATCTCTTGTTTCTGTTGCCATTTTCTTTTTTTTTAACAGTTGTAAAAAAACTTTTTTTAAATTCCAAAGTAGGTCAACAAAATCAGCTAGATTATAGTTTGAAGATTTATTGAACTTTAAATATAAACATTTTAAAAGATGATTTGATAAAACTTTGACTTTTCTAAAATATCAAGTTTTTATATAGTTTCTCAATGCAACTACTAATATGACTTAACATTTAATAGCCGAAAATCATTATTTTTTTAATACTATGTAAAAACGCCTCAAATGGTAAATTTTCAGAAGAAGCAGTTAATTGCACAATACTTTTACCAATTAATAAATTACACTTCTTTTGAACTGTCAGAATAAACATCAGTAATTTATTTGAATTATACGAGAGAATGAGAATGAGTTTCCTTGTGGGTTAACTTTCAACTTAGCTGAATTTAAACAAGTTTGGACAGTTATAATTGTGAGTTCATACGTCCCACATTGTTTCTACTGCCCTGAAAAATTAATATTTTACTTTTGCAAAATTCATTGTTTTTTTTTTGTTCATCTAAATAAACTAGAATTGTGTAAAATGTAAAATGTTTTAAACAGCATTTATAGGAAGGAATGAGGAAAAGACAATCATGCCTCCTCTAACAAATTTTTATGTTTTGCCCAAAACAACTGTTTTAGAAATATTTTTGTTTTCATTTCATTGACCACTTAAGTCATCTTAATGGGAAGATGTTTTATTTTCCTTGTCTTCTGCTTTCTCTTTTCCCAGTAGGCCTACTTTTTTTATCTAGTCAGACCGTAGTTTTCTTTCTTTGTTACTTTTATAACCTGGTTTTTGTGATTATTGATCTCAAACTCTTATAAAATTTCTAAGGAAAATTACCGTAAATACCTGTTTTATAATTTCAATCAGCAACATTTTTAAGCAACGGTTGGATTTTAGAATGAAGTATTATAAATTTATAATTTTGGGAATAAGTAGTTGTAGTTTTATAATTTTTTAGTAGGTAATATATAATACTTAAGCCACTGGTATTAATGAAGAAAAAATGTTTTCTAAGTACTGCAAACTTAATCTATTTTTCTATATTGATAAAAAATTAAATAGTTTACTGCTACTGAATCTTTTACTAAACAAACTGAAATAGTCGAATATTTTACTAGTCTACTAGTCTATTTTTATGTTTTAAAAGTCATGTCTGTTAGACAACTCATTTTTCCCATTTTTATTATTGTTTTATCCGTCAAGGAAAATATTAATCATTTACTGATATTTCTTAACACTCTTATAAGCAAAATCCATTATTATGTTGTTAAGAAGAAACAGTTTGTTTTAACAACATATCTGGTGTGTTTTGTTAGTTGTAATGTGTAAATACATGACTATACATCCGTCCATTTGTTTTGCGTTACTCTTGTTAGAATTGAAAACAAATGTCCCTGAAATACAAAATATAAACACCAGAGAAGGGGTCTAGTCACGTAGTATTATACCAACATTAATATTTAACTGGCATACCATGTGAATAGTATTTTACCCTAGGTATTGTGATATCCAGTATATTCCAGTGGTTTCAATCTTTTTTTTGTGGGTGTTTTAATTTCTAAATTGGAGGAACAATTCATTACGTTGACTATTAAAAATGAAGTTTTTTAAATTTGCTCTAGTTAAGCTAATTCTAAAGGTCAATCAGTTGGTAGTAGACACAGAAAACTTGAAATCTTCTTCAATGAAGGGAGTTGAACTCAGCATGACAACTTTATATAAAATTAAACTTTTATTGCCAACAAATATTGTTCCTCAAAATGTTAGTTGTATAAGTCAAAGGTAGGAGCTCCATCAAGCATTCGTAGAACTTTTTTTGTCAAAATAATCTTGTCCCACTTTGAACAACAAACAACTTGGTTGAACAAACATTTACTCGGTTGTAGTCTTTTATTAGTTATTATAAATATTAGTTATTATAAACCTCAAAAGCTATACATATTATTGGTCCTCTATAGATGACTGATTAACGTAACTTGTTTCAACAAATCGGTGAGGTTATTAATTGTTTGTGGTAATTTCGTAAATTTGTTTGGAAACAGTATTATTGCTTATAGACACTTTTTTAATAGTAGTATGAAGTTGAAACCACTGGATAATCTTTGTCGTATCGTTATCTCATAGATTTAGGTAGCATTAAATGCACAGGCTTTTAAGCCATTTAAACCACCAATGTAAAGTAACCCATTTCATTACGTCATTTATAAATACACACCCAAAAAAACACATTCAAAATACGCAAAAAAATATATTTTAAAAGACATCTTTCTGAGGTTTTGCATATCTCACTTTAATTATAGTGCATATTGCAATTAAATTAAGTGTATGTAGTTATAGGAATAATTATTTGAAAATATTTATCGCTAAACCTTATTGAAAATGAACCAATGTAGGTATAGATTGTTTATACATATCTCGATCTTAAAATAAAAGTATATTTTGAGCATTTCCCTGTTTTAATTCAATCCCCAACTAAAATTGATTTTTAACAATGACACATATTTTTTTAAAGAAACATATAAAATTCTTTTGCTTTCCACAATAAAAAAATTATAACTTTTTAATGAAGCCTACATTAATAGTAAGTAAGAACGGGTGCATCTAAAATATGTTTTTTGTCAAAAGATGCATATTTTAGAGTCCTGAGATGTTAGCCTGAACCACTCAGCACTCGGTTCAGTCGAATTTAAGGAATTCGGAGAATTTTCGAGGATGAGATTTGATTGTGTTTAGGTACAATGGAGGTGTGGAGAAAACCACGGTTGTGGTGGAGAACATTTGGTACACTCACATTAACTAACATGGTAGGCCGTAAGTTTTTCTCTTTTGTGTCGCTTTACAAAGACTAACGTCACGCAGCTGTGTTGTCAACCACGTTTGTTATTTACGCTCGTCAATTGTGTATGGTTCTCTAAATGTCAAAACATTGTGTTCAACTGTCATATTTTTGTGCTAAGCTAGCAACCTGTGTCAAGTTGAACGAGTTTCTAACTTTATGTAACTGAAAAACTACTATAGTAGAACCCCTCTA